AATTCAAGTAGTTTTTGGGAGGGAGTGGGGAGGTGTTATGGATAAGGATTTTTATGAAGTTGCTAAATATAAAATTTATGCTCTAGAAAATCAGAAGCCAGCATTCATTTTTCTCCCTTGCCTTTTTCCATGTAACGATATGGAAATGAAATCCAGAAATTCCAGTTGCATTTATGGATCATGTTTTTTAACAGTTGTGAGCTTGTGACAAGAAAATGTGAATAATGGAAATAAATCTATGACAGGATTTGTGTTTTGATCATTGTTTGGAGGGGATATTTCTATTCAGTTTCACAGTTACATTTTTAAGGACAAGAGAGATAATGCTAACTGTAATCTAAGATACTATGATTTTACATGTATGCGTTTTCATTAACTGCAGCATCATAACAAAATGAGTGACATCATAAACAGGTTTTGAGTATGCAGTTCACTATTCCAGTCATAAGTGGATACATTTTGTGGTTTACCTTGAAAATGTTCCTTTAAGCATGTACTTACTCCCTTGATTATAGTGCCTAGAAACAGAACATCTTTTTCTATATTTTTTTTAATTTATTTAACAAATTTAGAAGTTGCTTAGCTGTCAGTAGTAACTTCACCATAGGTGAAGGGATGCTTTCAGTCATACTTATCAATGGTGTTTAATATATAAAACATACATAAATATACATATATATATAAAACCTTTCTTTTTCCTGAATCAATGTAAACAGAGCCCAGATGGCCGTATAGAAGTCAAAGGGCAGCATGGAAAATCGTCACTGCATATTAAAGATGTGAAGTTGTCAGATTCAGGGAGATATGACTGTGAAGCTGCAAGTAGAATTGGTGGGCACCAAAAGAGCATGTACCTTGATATTGAATGTAAGTTCTAATATTTTGTTTTCTCTTTTAAATTTGTTTTAAAAGAAAAAAAAGTACATTCTTAATGGAAGGTCAGTTTTTCCTGGTAATTCATGTTTAAACGTGCATAATTTAAGAAAGCATATTCTTCTGTAGTTAGTGATATGGAATTCTGTGAAGGAATCCTGTCTTTTCTAAAGTTGACAAGACCCTTGTCGGTGATTTAAGCAGGACAGTATTTCATCTGAGGTCATATTCCAGTGGTATTACCCACTTACTTAAGGCTAAGCTTAATAACTTCAAATCTTGGGGCTAGTGGAGACTGCTGTGGGTGAAAAGTATTCAGTGGGATAATGTAAGGATTGATTTGAGCAACAGCTCAGTCTTGAGCTTAACCTTCTAAGATTGAACAGTCTTCTGGTTTTTTCCTTGTTCTCTGTTTTACTAATCCCCAACAAGTCTCTAGCCCTTCTTATAACCCCCTCCTGGAGTTCACAAGTTTGTGATAATTTCTTTTAGATAGGCTGCTTTATGGACAGGCTGCTTTATTCAAAGCTCTTAAAATTTATCCAGGAGAAAAGGAGATTGTTTTTGCTTAGAGAAGAGTCTGATGCTATAGAAGCCAATCAGAGGATATAAATTTGAAATATACAAAAATTCATTGGAAAATTGCCTCTTCAAACTGTTCTTCAAATTCATGAAGCAAAGGTCTTCAAAAAATGAAAACAAAATCCTTCTTTTATACTTCATTGTTGTTCTATGTTGCTAGAGATTTTCTACATACATTTGTTCTACATTTGCAATATAGCTTGAGTGAGCCTGTTTGAGATTGAGGCTCTGAACAGAAAGTCTTTCCAGCGGGAAGACAGAAGTTGGAATAGGATCTGTGGCACAGAAAGATAAGTAACGGTTGTAGACTATCAGCTGAGTGATTTCCTGAGGAGTTCTAAAAGTGGCTTCAGTATACAATTGCATTTTCCATCTTTTTGGCAAGCAAACAATGCATTATGACATAGGAAATAAATCTGAAAGGAAAATGAGAAATGGTCAAAGTTGTAATTGGATGTTAGGAATGGAGAGATTTGCCAACCCAGAAGACCTAAGAAATAAATACAGTATTTATTAATAGCTTTAACATAGCTACTTTTCAATAAATAGACATATGAAGGGATTTGAAACTTCGCAAAATATTATTATTCTTTTGGGAACATATTAATTTACTATATTTGTTTCTTTAATGAGTGCACTGGTGCACTGATAATTATTTATATGTGTATATGTATATATGGAGCCGTTGTGCTTTAAAATTAAGTATTAATACCTTTTGTGTTCAGAAGAGAGATATAGGATGCACCACATTTTATGAAACATGGGCAACTGAAATTTAAGAATTTATTAGCAGCACAGAATTCATACTAAAGGGCATAACAAAATCTCTGGATTGATACAATACATTATTATAGTCTAAGACACCTTTCTGGGTAAAAGTTTTAGAATAGATGCTAAGTAACATTCTCATTATGGTATGGCAGGCTTAATTTTGAATATGTGTGGGAACAATCAAATATGGAATACTGTTTTGATTTAAGTCTGATTTTATGCCTTGGTAGACACTACAAATACATTCTTTTATGAAGCAGGTGTCATAGTTATCCTTCATTCCAGTTATTTCACTTTGTAAGTTGCAGGCTGGAGACTTTCAGCAAAAGGTACAGGTTCAAAAACTAAACAACTAATTTGTAATCTCATAGCAAAATGGGAAAACAGGGGGAATTGTTATGAGATCCTGTGAAGTTGGTATTGAATAAATGATTTGACTCTTGTATCATTTTGCAAGTGATATTTTTTCAGCATGTTAATTGTAATTACAAACATTGCAATCAGGGTTTTTTACATTTTTTTTCCAAATATTCATTTACCAAATTGCATAAAACTCTTCAAAATATTTTAATCTTCACTTCAATTATTTTGGTTTTGTTCCCTTCAAAACCAGTTTTGAGAAGAATTTTTGCGGGTATGGCTGGCTTTTTGCATAATCACTAATGAGCCATTTTAGCAGAATTTATATTATTTTAATAATATTCTAGTATAAACCTCAATAACTATTTTAAAATTAAAATATAAATAAATAAGCAAGACAATTTTTTATATTGTTCCATAGTTCCTAGATAGGACTACTCAATGCACCTATGCCATTCTGTAACTTAATAACAAAACTACAACAGTTTTCTTTATATGTTTTAATACATTTGTCAGTTTGTGTAGTCAGGAAAGGAGCATGCTCTCATCACATCCTTAAATGTCAGTGCAGTTAAACAGGCCTCACACAGAGTGCTCTGGTGTCACTGTCTCATCCTTTTACTTACTGACCCCTATCAGAGACTTAAACTGACAATAGGATTGCACAGAGTTTCTGTACTTTATCCGTGTTCTCTGTTGGGGTTGCTCTTGATGATAAGAGCAGTTCTCCAGGACAGGAAGAGATTATCAGGTTTGATACCAATTGGGCACAGTTAACCCTGCCTTTTATCTGAAGTAAATGCTAGACAGACACGAATTGTAGGGAACCCGGGGACATTTATACGGATTTCTTCCTACAAAGTGATATTTGTATTTAGTTATGTTTAGTTTTCCGTATATTCAGTATGAAAAATAAATCAAAATGACGTAAAAATGAAAGATACCATTATAAATGTTGTTTACTAATGGATTTCATTAACTGTGAAATTTGATTACACATATGAAGCCTAGTGTGTATTGGATGATGATGATGATGATAATAATAATAATAGAAGTAACTGATTGAAAAGTTCCTGCGTGATGGCATATATGATGTATACTAGGTATTGGGTATTAAGATGTGTCTATAGTGATTATCTGTATATTTATCATAGACAGAGAAATAGCTATTTGTTTTTTTAATAAAAACCATGATAGAAATAGATAAAAAATAGATAAAATGGGAGATACTCGAAGATGAGGTTTTCAGAAGGGCCTGAGGAAGTTACATGTACAATACCCAGTGAATTACAACTTGATTTGTACATATATTTGTACATACTACCAGGTGCCTTTCAAAGTTACAGTTTTCCTATGCAGATGTTTAAATTTCTATTTGGTATTTTTTGTCTTTTTAGCTGAGACATAATTATTCTGAAAAATATATGCTAGGGATATAAACGGATCTTAAAAAGCACAATACAGGCCTGACTAAGAGAAGAAAAATTCTGATGAGAGAACACATTATTTCTTGGGTTCCACAAGTTATTCACTGCAATGGTTAACATTAGATTATGAAACATCATAACTTTGACATGTTCGATATGCTGGATCATCTTTCCTCATAGTATTATTCTTAGTTAGGATGCACTGGTAGCATTACTAAGTTGGAAAGGATTTAAAGAAGCCTTTAATGATCAGCAGTCTATGATCCTTAGAAGTGGCTCTCTACTTGCCCTTAAAGTTTTCCTTTCATTGTGTTCAAACTGTCATTAACACAGTCAGTATTTACAGCACTTAATTGTGTGCTGCTAGGTGCGCACATTGTGTAAGATGCTGGTCTCTCTGCTCTGTATCACCAAGTGCAGATTCCTTCGGAGAATACTCCTGTTACTGGAGAAAATGTATTAAACCATGTTCTTTGGAAAAGTCTCTGGTTTTCCATATAGTACCCGGGAAGCATCCTAACTTACAGTCTTTTGTAGCTGCATTTACCAGTTTTTGCATCACTCTATTTCAGTTAAAAGTCCCAAGTTTCAACATTGATACTGCAGTTCTTAGATATGCTGGATGGTCCAAAAATACCTACTTCCTCACTGTACACAAAGACTAGTGTTCTGGGGTATAATCAACTATCGCAAACATATTGCATTCAGTAATATGGTACATTTTTGCATGATATCAGCCACATGAGTGGTTGACAAATATGATTTCTTAGAAAACAATTTCTAAAAAATTCCATTTAAATAATTTAAAGTGTCTTCCAAAAATGAGTTTTTCTTACTGCTGGTTTTCATCCAAACCTGAATTTTGTATTTATGTTCCTTATTAGTTATGTACCAACGTTCAGTGGTACAAAAAAAAAAAAAGTGTAGCATGTGCAACACAGTCTTTACCTGTAAAGAAACCTGTGTAGTGTTTATTACACTACTGTATTGCTTATCAGAAACAGTCTTTTTTCTTTTTCTTTTTTTCCGCCAGAATTTGAAATCAACCTCATTACTCTTACAGTATTGAACTTCGTTTCCCGAGTCAATTAGTCTTTTAGGCTTTTCACTTTGTTTTATGTTAGTTAGCTGTATTGCATTGTGGTTAATGCAGATGCTTTGGATTCATGCTATTTAATTTTATATCTTTGCAAAAATATACAGCATTACTTAAAAGCAGGTTGAACAAGTTGAGCTACAAATTCTATTTACCTTCAAGGAAGCAAGGCTTTGAATCAGTGAAAATAATACTACTGTGTGCAAGATGTCACAGATGTTGTGACAAATGTCACAAATGTTTCAGCTACCTACTGCTATTATAAATTATAATAAATGCAGACAGTTCATACTTTAGATTTGGTTTCTGTTAGATCAGTGTATCAACATCCCGTCACTACTCACAGAATGCTTGAGGTTGGAAGGGATTGCCTCTTGTCCTGTCACTGGACACCACTGAAAAGGGCCTGGCTCCGCCTTCTTTACACCCTCCCTTCAGCTATTAATCATGGGGGCCTAGCCCTATCTTGTTATCACAGCCAAAACTGATAAACACAATCATATGATCTAAGAAAGAGACAAATGACAGGAAAAGCAATCAAGAGAAACAAAATGTTGAAATATTCTGGAAAATTTTGCATCTTTTCTATTAAAATACTATTGGCTTTAGTTACATTTCTTCCTGTCTAATTTGTAGCTTAAAATGAGAACGGAAAGATGGAAAAGGTCAATCTTTAGCATCATGAAATGCATGTCATAATTTTGACATGACTTTGGAGCTCATGAATGTCACGAGATTTAAATTTTTCCTTCTTTGAC